AGAGAAATGTCAGCAGTATCTTTTATATAAATCTGTAGGCCATAGTGCAAAACTCAGTTTATAATGACTGGTTAGCATACTGTTCTCAAACAAATCTGAATTTTCATACAGTAGAATTTACAAGGTTGGCATATTACATATAAATTAATCAAATCTTTTTATTTGACCAGTGCTAGATTGCACATGTTGGGGAACCATCACTGCAGTATTTCATGTTCATTATGTTGGGACAACAAGTTTACCTGAGGAATTAAACAGGTTTTTGAGGGAGTTGTGCAGGTTATTGTTACCATGCATTCAATTTGTAAGCCTTAATTTAAAATTGTTTGATGAAGTTCACATTATATAGGCCAGGATTTTGCAGTATACAAATGTTAGAAGTGGAAAATCAGAAGTTGGAGAAATTGTTGTCTTAATCCCAAGCACATTTAGCCAACGGTTTATCATCCTAATGCCCTTCTGTTTGATATTTACTTCTTTGGACATTGCTACCTCACTCTTTTTGCAAATCCATGTTAGCACTGATGTCATAAAGTAAGCAGAATGAATGTGTGAAATTGCTTGTAAAATTATCAAATGAAATGAATAGCAAATATGATGGCTTTTTTTTAAAGTTGAATAAGGAAACTGTCAGCAATGATACACTCTCGTAATGCTTACTAGAGCTGAACAGTATATATATAAGGCTGTGCAAGAGAGGCAGCCAGACAGATCTCAGGATCCTCAAGGCTTCCCATAGTTCCAGAAAAGAGAGTAGCATCCTTCTCCAGCTGCTACATATCACTTCAAAGTATTGGAAGGTAAGATTTTTATAAACTACTAGGCACAGTTTGTTTGAGAAGGATGAGTGCATTGTATGAATTGTATTGTCCAACGTTCACAATACAGGCACAAGATGTTTCAATACAGTAGTGGGGGTTTTTGGCACTTATAGTGATTGATGCTTGGAGTTAGTGACTAGCCTTCAAGATTTACATCTTTGTTCAGGTTATTCAATTAGCTGAACAGAGAATGACCCAAAATGGCAAATCTACTGTTAGGGTTACAGAAGCAATTGAAAGAAGCAAGATTAAACATGAGATCATGAAGATATGCGGTGTATTCAAAATTTGTATGTGAGATACATAATTATTGATTTTTGTATTTTTTTCTACTTTATAGATACTTAATCAGTCTGATTTTTAAAATTACATTCAGTCCATATATATACTTCCTAAACATAATCAGAAGTGATTCAATTAGTAGAATGCATACAAAAGTTGGTTTCTGTATACAGTCATTAAAAATTATCCATGACAGATTGCCATTCCATTGCCCTACTCTGATATTAGTTTGTCTCAAGTAACTGTTATTGTCATATCACTGTGGGTTCTCAAATGGAAATTTTAGAGCATTTAATAAAAAAACAGCCTTTCCATAATTACTGTGATTATTGAATAAAATTTAGTATAGTTTTCTATCATGCAGAATACCTTAGGCACAGAACTTTCCACAAGGTATTTTAGAGCATGGTATGTATATTCAAAGTAAACTGTATGTATACACAGAGAAAGTCCATAGTTGGTGTTTTTTAAACTAGAAATGGACCCGAATCTGACTTCTGAAAGATTATTTGTTGTAAACTCATGAGATGAAGCTAGTACAGATTACACACAGTGTATAAAGATACCTGCAGTAAAATATATCGCAAAAAATAGCAAAATCAAGTATATGAGAGAAATAATATTCCTTTCTAACTGCAAATGCAAAATAAATGTCACAGGAGTCAATATTTTCAGCACTAAAACTTTCTGATCAATATTTGAGAAGCATTTTTGTTACATCGTTTTTGATGGTACAAATTTACTAATCCAATGACTTTCATCTCCACTCAGAAAGAAATTAGAAATATTTCCATTAGCTTAGTAAGCAGAGATCCAAAATTTTCATCTGAGATCAGTCTTAGTTTTCTGGCAGCTTAGCAATGAGATTGCATATTGTTTTTTTTTCAGCATCTCCTAATGACCTGAACTATTTGAAGCAAATAAAACTTTTTTTCCCCTGATATGGAAATTAATTAATGGAATAAACTAAACAAATACTCTTTTGCTCATCATCTCTATAAACATCTGTTTTCTGTACAAAACATTTTTGTTTGCCCTTTTTTTTTTTTCAGCATCTCCTAGTGACCTAAACTATTTGAAGCAAATAAAACTTTTTTTCCCCTGATATGGAAATTAATTAATGGAATAAACTAAACAAATACTCTTTTGCTCATCATCTCTATAAACATCTGTTTTCTGTACAAAACATTTTTGTTTGCCCAAAAATAAAATAACAATCTACTCATTAAATACTGTAGTTACTTGAACTTAAAGAAAACAAATAGCTCTTGTTAATGTGGATTACCAGCAGCAAGTATGAAATGTAGAACATACAAAATTGATTCTAAATCTTAACAGAACATATTTGACAGAAGTTTACTGAGCAGTGCTTTTCAAAAATGAGCACTTTACCATTGTCAGGATTGTCTATCTGAAAATTGTATTAATTTCCAAAATTGCATTTATACATCTCTCTTTTTACTAGATTTTGATTGTGAAATTTTGATTCTGATTCTGAAAAAAAAATAGAAGCTAAACATGCATTTAATGTGAAGCACATTCTTAGTCATAATATAGCCAGTGGAACCGTTCACATCTGAAAGCTGTTTAGGACTAAGGCATGAGGGTTAGGTCCAAAATATATTGAAATCACTGAAAATCTATTTCCTAATGGCAATGGGCTTTGAATGTATACTTATAGATTTAATATGCAAGAACAAAGTTTCATGTCTGATACTATTTAAAACGGACTGGATTTAATGACTAGGCTATTTCTTTCAAATTAACCTATTTGGTGTCTAGGATGACTTGTTTATGGCTAAATCAGACAGCAGGGGTGTCACTGCATTCCACTGAAAGCAGTTCTGACCACAACAGAGATGTGTCCCAGAGAATAATACAGTTTTTGTCCAGTTGTCCTAAGCCTATGAAATGTGAAATGATGCATTCTTTGAGATAAACATTGGATGTCAGTGTTGCACCACCAAATTACAGCTGCAAAAGAAACAGTGAAAAGAGCCCAGTACTATGGTTAGGGTTGTTAACAGGGCTGAATGGTCACTATCATATTTGTTGGTCCTAGCAAGGTGTGATGAGGTGTAGCAATCAAACTTCATGTAAAAGGGCATTACAGAAGCCAGGAGAGCATTAGTCTCCATACATACCATCAAAAACTGAGCAGTACCAGCAGTGACTTCTAGTGGAGACAGGGAAGTGGACTGCATCACTTAATGGTACAATCCACCAGATCTTGTATTCATCAATTTATTTTCCTGCTTTTGCCTAAGATTTAACTTAACTATTTTGATTTTGATACTAAGGTATTATAGTATTTTGATTCCATCAAGATTTATTAAGATTGCCTTAAAAAGCACCAACAGCAAAATACCAGCAGCAATGTATTCTTCCTAACTATTGAGAAAATACCCAGCACATGTCAAGCTGTTAATAGGAGGGAGCAAACCTTGTGTAAAAAATTATAGATTCATAGAAGAGAGTTACAACTTATACCAGCTGAGAGCCACCATAAGACACATTCCGGTTTCATGCATGCTTAATTCCTCCAGCTTCTCCTACAGTATATGACATGGTAGGCCACATGTGGTAAGTATATATTCTCTAGCAGTTATTGCTCTATCTAAATATGTATATATTTATCAGCAGGGCATTTGATGAAGCTTACAACAAGCTAATCACGAGCCAGTTATAGTAAAAATGCTACATTATCCACTCAGAGGCTTCAATTAGATTGCTCATTTCCAGGGAATATTCAATTTTGTTACTTTTAATCTCCAACTGTAAGTCATTCTTCCATAACTGATGGAAGAAACAAAGATTATACAAAGCCTACTCTAAAACTGCAGGATAATACTGGAGCAGAGTACAACCCCTACAGCAGCAAGACTTTTGATGCAGAAATAGACTTTTTTTGCAGGTGTTAATATTGCCCTGCATTTGCACTGCTCAGTACAAACCAACCCAGTCCAAAGACAGAGAAGTCTGAAATGTGTACCTTCTTTACAGATCATTCCTTCAAAATTTTGATTTGATTTCCTCCACACCATAGTATATTTAAAATTAGCCTATTGCAGCAAGGCACTGCAATGAGAATGTATTCCCTCAGAGTCCCTTGTTTTATAATTCATTTAATTTAAATAAGTAAAATCAGTGGAGCTGGAGGATGTAATTCAGTGCAGATTAAATTTAGTGTGCAGGATGTCTTTTGGATGTGTCTAACTTTGCCACCTACTGTTTTATTTCAGTGCTCTCATCCTTCCTATCTCCCCTTGTATTTCAGACTGTGATATAAACTTTCATAGAAAAAAATCATGGATGGCAGAATATGCACAAACAAGTATCAGTTGAAGTACGCGATGAAATATTTCCAGTGACATTTTTACTGAAGTGAACTCATTGCAACTTCTGTTGCTTTTCAACAGATTAATATTGCGATCTGTACTGATTTTAAAGTTTGAATGAATGAGCATTTACTGTTCAGCATTCAACGAACAGGCTGTTATTCATTAAATGAATGGCACATTATTTTTCACAGTAAAAGCACCTAATCAAATTTGAAATTATTTTATTTTTCTATATAGTCATTCCAAAAGTAAATGATTCAACCAATTAACAGTAAACAATACATAGTGGACAGTTTTAAAAGTAGATTCCCTCTTACCTCCATTCATATAGATGACTTCAGTGCAGAGCACTTTTGAGTCAATTTGCCACCAGCTTTTTTTTTTTTTTTTTTTGTGTGTGTGTGTGAGCCCCAAATGATCAAGGTTTATTTGTCCAGTTTTAGGAGATTATGTGTCAACAAACTAACAACAATACATTAGATAACGACAACTGTAGCACACACAATTACGGAAAGAGAGAATGTCTTACTCCCCTTGGTGACTTTCAGTAGAAGTTATAACTGAATTACTTTCATGAGTAATCAGCCACCAGTGCAAGCAGGGGAATCACAGCTTGGCTGTGAATCATCAGAAGTTTTGTACAGACTGTAATACTCTATATTGAATAACACATTAAAATTAGTGAGACTATTGAAGTTACTAGAGTGTTCATGATGAGTGCTACAATGATCTTGACATTTCTCTTACATCTTTGGAACCAGTAGGATGGCCTATAACATTTTCTGGGTCAAGAATTAGAAGGAAAGAATAAGTTGCTGATTTGACAGTATCCACACAGATCTGCTTTGTTCTTCTCTACTAAATAAGCTAGGGGAAAAAAAAGCCACACCAGTACCCTAGTTTTATACCGAAACACTTATTACAAAAACAGATGTAGTACTTGGCATCAACAGAACAAAGACAGACCTTTATCCTAAGATTACAAAGGACACTGACTCAGACACAGTTTTCTGCACTCCCCCAGAAGTCTAGTAGTAAAGCTTAGAACAGACACAAGGTCTTCTGAATGTCTCTTCAAAGCACTGTGTAGTTGATCTATTTACACAGGCTCTCAATATCTTCAAGTTTAAATGAACATTATGGATGTTTCTTTATCAATATAATTGATTCCAAGGTATGTAAAGATTATTACATTTTCTTCGTTGCCTTATTTATGTTTTGGCAGACAATGAAAATGAAAACTGTTTATTTTGTTGCTGGGCTGCTTTTAATGATAGTTCAAGGGAGCTGGCAAAATCCTCTTCAGGATACAGAAGAGAAATCAAGGTAAATATTTCAGATCTACAAACTCTTGTTGTGCCTTTTGTTTTCTTATCATTCAAAGCAATATTATACTCTAACTTAATGTTAGCTTTTTTAACCTATTATACAGTATTTGAGCTACCACTGGAACTGGCAGAAAAATTTAGTATTGTGAAGTATAGCCCAAAGATTTTTGGTTATCTCAAGCACCAGCTGACTTGGTTATCCAAGAAGACCTTGTAGTTGTTCAGTATGCAATCTACTATCTTGTCTCATTTTACCAGCCAGCTGGTGATCAATGATAGGCCATTTGTTCTTACCTTTTCAGAGTACAAAATTATATTTTAAAAGGAAATCCAATACATTGTAGAATGTACTATTACCAGTAACATTTAACAAGTTCACATTTTCCATAGATCATACAAAGCTTCCCAGTCTGAACCATTAGATGAATCTAGACAACTGAATGAAGTGAAACGTCATTCACAAGGAACATTCACCAGTGATTACAGCAAGTACTTGGACACTAGACGAGCTCAGGATTTTGTGCAGTGGCTAATGAGTACCAAAAGAAATGGGTAAGTGTTTTGGTCATATTGCTATAAATCTCCATTCAGAGAAAACAAACAAACATTTAGTATCTGATTGAATTCAGTTTGCTTGATTTCCACTTCCCTTTGCAAAACTACATGTAATCCTCCAGTAAATAAAATGCTAAAGAATAATTTATATATAGTGCTAATCATAGAATCATAGAATCATAGAATGCTTAAGGTTGGAAGGGACCTCTAGAGATCATCTAGTCCAACCCCCTGCACACGCAGGGTCACCTAGAGCACGTGGCACAGGACTGCGTCCAAGCGGGTTTTGAAGATCTCCAGAGAAGGAGACTCCACAACCTCTCTGGGCAGCCTGTTCCAGTGCTCTGTAGCCCTCACTGTTAAGAAATTTTTCCTTAAGTTCCTGTGGAACTTTTTTTTTTACTAGTATGTTATTAGAAATGTTAATATGTTATTAGAAATGTGGTTATGTGCAAAGTCACTCAAAAGAATTTGGACAGATCAAGTATATTATTATTATCTGTATTATTAGCAGTATTGTTATTATCTAATATGCCATCTACCATGAGAGCAAGAATAATTTCATGTAATTTTATGCCCTTCATCATGGAGAAGATAGGCGTACAGAATCCATTATTCTATTATGTTAACACTTTTAAATCCTGGCGAAAATCTTAAAAAGTAAGTTTACAATTTCTGGATACTGCTGGCCCAAAACTATATGTAAAATTAATCTTTCAGTCATGATTGTTTATAATGAAATGTAAGTAATATCCAATAGAATATTTACAGCTCATGCATGCTCCACAATGTTCTAGTAATAATGATCTAATGATTTTGGAATTCTGCTACAGACAACAGGGACAGGAGGACAAAGAGAATGAAGAATTCCCGGACCAGCTCTCAAGGTATTCTAATTACCAGATTTGTTATATAGAAAAGAATAAAGCAAGCTAGTTTTCTGTTAAGCAAGAAAGAAAATAGCTAGTGCTCTTTACAATTATAGCGTTATCCAAGAAATATGTATCAAATAAATTATCGTGCACCTTCTTACACGTAAAAATGAAATATTGCTATGTTACTTATTCCTGCAACTGTGTTCTATATTTATGTGCAACTGAATTCCCAAAATGGCTTCACAGAATGCAGCAGGATGGCCGCAATAAATTGCAGGAGAGGACATTTTAAGTAATAAAGAAGTGGAGAGAAGAAGATAAAAAAATAAAAACTTGGTACATAAGAAAGATGAAGGAAAAAAAGCCATTATGTTGAAAGAAAACCATTAGGAGGATTTTAACGAAGCGAAAATGGTTGGTCACCAAGATGGGAAGAACTGATAAAAGATGATCCAATGCTTAGTCCTCAGTACTCAGTCTTATTTCAAATAAATTGTTCCTATTAGAAAAGAAAATGGAGAACAAAAGAGCTGCTGAAGCCCAAAATTTTGTTTCCTGACAGTGTTTTGTGGAGGGGATGAAGAGACTGGAAATTTGAACAAACAAAAATTCACTGCATGGTTTTGAAAAACAGATTGAAATACCTATATTCATTCTTCCTTTTGTCAGAAATACCAAAGAGGGCAGTCTGGATCACAAAGATCTTTCCGTTCAAAACATTGTCAAAAGCAATACCAAATCTGTGAAATGTTTCAGCTTCAATGAACGGCATATCTCAACAAAACTAACATTTCATCAAAAATGTTCCAAACAACTCTAGTTAGCATGCTGATGAAAAGTGCAGATGGTACTAAATTGGGAGGAATGGTGAAATCCCAAGAACACAGAAAAATAATAGAAAGGGCTAGAAGCATTTGAAAATTGGACAGAAAGTAGCTATTTCTGAAATACAAATGCAAGGGAAATTATCTGGATAAAATACTCAAAAATATGTCTTATTCTCATTGCAACCTGTCTTATGAAAAGTGAATAGCATAATTTTGCTCTATACTGGAGAAAGAAGCAGAGGGAGAAAAGAAGGCAATTGTTTTTCCCATAAACTGCAGATTAAGAAATCTCAAATTGTTCCAAGATTATCACTTGGTCAGAATGATGAGTATTCATAGAACAATCCAAAATGCAAAAGAACGTAAAATAAAAAGGAGTTAAGCTGGAACATTTTGGCTAAGAAATTTTGAAGATGAAGGCAGAAAGAGTGATTTAGTGGAAATATTTTGGTTGGCACAACAAGAGGTAACTTCCAGGAAGTATGTCTATAGAATACAACATAGTCTGTGGAGCAGAGCTAATTAATCTATCAGAAGACCATTGCAATGCAGCTATATTTGCCTTCAGCACCTGATCTAACTTGTTCAGATATAGTTCGGGTATCTCTGCCCAATTGTATACTGCATAGCACAGAAAATGCCTTCAGAATTTTAAAATGAAAATACTAGGAATAATTTGAGGAGGAAAGAAATCCCTTTTCCCTAGTAGTAAATGCTAGTCTGGTGGAAAATAGTAATTTGTAAAGACAAAAAGAAGAGAAAAAAAAATCTGATCCTAGAGTATTGCTCTTCTTTCAGCAATGCAATCTCCAAGCGTCATGCTGAATTTGAGAGACATGCTGAGGGCACCTACACCAGTGATATCACCTCTTATTTGGAAGGTCAAGCCGCCAAAGAGTTCATTGCTTGGTTAGTGAATGGACGAGGAAGAAGAGAGTAAGAAACCATCCATTCCTATTATTAAATTTTGCCTTTCTTTCAATGTTAGAAATCAAGTCTGATGAAATCTTGATGTATATTTGATCATTTTTGTTGTATTTCATGCTTTTCTTTTGTAATAGAAAATATCCCGTGGGTGTTACACTATGATTTTAAATTAAGTTCAGATACAAACTAAAACAAATCCGTTTATCATGCTGTTACACTCTATAAGGTCAAGTCATATTTAAGGTCAACACATCTAAAACTAAACCAGACCTTTCTCTAACTACCACCTTTCTCCCTTCACATAAAATCGCTTACAGTCTTCTTCACCACCACTGAGATGACTCAAGTCAGTGTTGTCTTAAATTCCTTTCTCTTTTTTTCTCCTTTGCAGCCAGTGTTTTCCTCTGCAAGGTTTCCACAGTTAAATTTTTGCTCTTACCCCTGCTACCACAGCTGTACCCCATGCTTTGGAGACCATACCCACCAGCTACTGTTGACTGCTTTTCTTCTTCCTTTCTTCCACAGTCTCCCTAAGTTGCTGCTGCCAAAACAACTGTCATTTCCTATAACTATGACATATTTTCCTTTCTAAGACACACCTACTTCTTTTGGTATGTTCAAGGCTTTTCTGGACTCCATACTCCACTGTTTTGCCCTGTCCTGATTTCTTTCATTCATAATTTGTTCTCTATACATTCATCACAGATTTCTCAAGTCTATTCTCTTCATCTGCCCCTTCATGACTTTAAACCTTGCATCATGATAGTCTTGTACTTGGATCACCCTTATCTTTAATCTTCCCCAGGCACCTTCTGTCATATTTCCAGCTCTGGCTTACTAATTGAACCATGCACAAGCACTCCCCACTTTAACTGCTCTGTACTTGTTTGTGCCTTTAGACTGTAAGCTCTTCGGGGCAGGGATTTCAGTTCAGCCTCTGATTATATCTTCTACCAGATGTAAAGTTCTATGTAAGTTTCTCGTACTATAATAAATAATGACAACAATAAAATATAATCTGTAAGACAAGATCGTGTGTTGTAGTCAAGGAAGAGTAAGTAGGTAAAAGTAAACTATGGAAACAATGACTGTTTCCTGAAAAAACAGCGTTAAATGAATAAGATCAGCTATAAAAAGAAGAGAAAGGTTGGTGACATTTTATAGCGATGTTCATATTTGCAGGTTTTCTTTCTGTCATGCTTTATTTTCAAGAGCAGGGAAAAAAAAAGTATTTTTGCATTTGTAAGAAAGATTAATTTCAACCTAGCTGCAATAAAGTGAGCTTAGAATCCTAGATGGACAACTAAATGTAGACCACCTTCTGCTTCTTGATATTTTGTAGTATTTGCAGTCAAACCTGTGTATAGACTTGCCTGAAACAGTTATGGGCCATGCTAAATGAGTGCATGGAAAGAACAATTCTGCCTGTGAGTGGTCATAAACTACAGTGTGCTTTAGCAGCAGTCCCGCTTATTGGAACTGATTAGCATCTCCCTATTTTTGACATGGTGAAACAAGAAGGAAAAACTTCCTAAATCAAGCCCACAGTGCAATGGTTTTCCAGTGGTCAAAAAGGGACAGAATCAAGAATGAGGATCTGATTCTAAATCTAAAGTGCTGATGTTGTAATAGGGATATTTTTCTTAAATATATATCTAAATGTTTATGCAAAACAAATTTAACTATGAAACTAGGACCTTAAATGTCCAGTTAAAAGAGTAAACACATTTATGAAAATTTGGCTATAGTATAATTCCGTATTTTTTAAATAGTCATTTTAGTAAATCTACTGTGAATTTTATTGTTGCCTAGTTCACTTGGCATAGAGGGTGCAGAATAAGGTATGTTTTTATATATCTGACTTTTTAAACATGCTTGAGAAGAATTTAGCCTCACTTAAAGGAAAAATATCTGCCTGGAGGGAGACTTCTAAACTGCTTTCTGTTGTTTAAAAAATGTGTCAGAAGTTTTTCTGATATATATCATTTTATATTGAGCCATAACATCAAGATCAAACTCCCAGTCCTTAAACCCCAGAAATGTACAGTGCTTTATAATCAATAATGAAGACCTTTTAAGCAGTTTGTTTATTCTGATCTACAAATTGTTTGATAATTTCTTCCCTTTGAAGTTTCCCAGAAAAAGCTCTTATGGCCGAAGAAATGGGCCGAAGACATGCAGACGGCACTTTCACGAGTGATATCAACAAAATCCTTGATGATATGGCTGCCAAAGAGTTCTTAAAATGGCTGATTAACACAAAAGTTACCCAAAGGTGCTTGAATTTTGATCATGTTAATTCTTAATATAATGTGGGTTTAAGTGTACTTGTCACGCAAGTCATATTTGAGTCATACATGTCTTGACTTGTCATGACTTGTCACACAACTCATTTTTCTCTATTAACATATCTATAAATGTATTGCAAACTTTATATTATAGACACTGCCGAACAAGGCTAGCACACTATACACAAAAATAATTCCAAATATAGTCTTTATTTTGCATCAGGGGTGAATCTATTAAATAGTTTCCTATTTAACTGGAGAGGAGTTTTGCCACTGAATGTTGCCAGAATTGACACTATATTAAAGTACTGATAAATAAAATTCTCATTTGCATGAGTATTATAAAATCAGAAATATTTATTGATAGCATGATACTAAAACAACTATTTTTAAAAACTGTGACCGTCTGCCCTAAACTATGGCTTGGTTAGGGAATAGGCTGTTGTAATAGAGTTCCTGGTGGTTAACTATTCGATATCTCTGCTTTAGTTTGCCAAAGCATAGGCAAATATTGTTAGAAAAACATTTTTTAACAAAATTTTGTGAATGCATTAAGAAAAAAGCATTGTTTTTTAACATTAGCAAAAAGTTTCAAGAATAATAAAATGATAACTAAAGAAGCATATGTGGCTAGATTTTCTAGAATGTTGAATGCCCATTCTGAAAACTAGATTACTTTCGATCTTTTGAAGTTTGAAGTACCCAAGATCACTAGTTGATTTTGGAAGTCTAAAACAGCAAATACTATCTCAAAAATTTGGAAGCTATAATTAAATTATAGTTTTGATTATCACTTTCATGTTTTTGTGTCTGTTTGTGGTTCAGTGTTGAAACAAATAATTTAAGAAAAACATCTATTAGAAACTATTAAAAAGCTTTTCTTTTAGAAATAATTTTGTCTTCAATCTGTTATTGAAGAGAGGCATTGAGGGGTTTGTAGAACTAACATCTGCTAACTCTTAGCCAGAAAAAAATATGGTCTGCACGTATTTCATAAATCTTGAGAAATTTATAATATGTCTTAATTACTGCTGCTTCTTTTTTCCAGGGACCTTTTGGGAGAATACTAGTAAAAAACACCAACAACAAAACAAAACAAAAATGGGATAAACGAAGATCTTCACTGCATCAAATGCCAGCTATTAAGAGATTCTGAAATCTGTATTCTGTCATTTATGTTGGATGTAACATAAAGCTATGTCACCTTGCATGCCAGGGAATAATTGTACTATGTTTAGTGTTGCCAAAGGATTATATGTAGAAAATCTGTTGTCTTAATACGTTTAAGACAATGAAAGTTCCACATTCTCATATTTCCTATTTATTAGAACCAAAATAAGTCCATTTACATTTAATCATGAAATTATTTTTCTCTAAAGTTGACTTCTACATAGAAATGCTTCAACCACAATTATATGTATTATTTGTTAAGGGGCTGGCAGTTAAAATGTCTGAGAAGTGAATATCCCTCTTGAAACCTTTGTTATAAAAAGGCTAAGCTTTAAGGATATTAAATGATAGCCTTAAATAAATTTTTTCAAGCTTCTTTCTGTTGACTTTTTGTGTGTATTCCTCTTGTGCCTGACTGAAGCACTGCCTTTTATTTTACTCTAAAATGTAGTGTCATTGAGAAATTTGAATTGGTTTGTTTGGAATGACACAACAAAATCAACAATTTGTTTTGCAACATTTTCTCCATAATGATTTTCAAAAAAGACTTGTATGAATTTTGAATAAGAAAACATAATAGAAATTGATGTGTTGCAGAAGGGTTGTCAGATCAGAATTGGAACCTGTAAATTAAATTAGTAATAGTTTAGTATAGCATAGTATTACAGTATTAGTATTAGAAACTAGTTTTAGAAATAGCTAATATTATCTTGTGTCCAAAACTTTGAATCCAAAACTTTCAATAATGCTTTGAAATGTCACAGAATCACAGAAAATTTGAGGTTGGAAAGGACCTCTGGAGATCATCTAGTCCAACTCCCCTACTCAAGCAGGGGCACCGAGAGCATTTTTCCAATGATTCTGGCCAGATGGCTTTTGAATATTTGCAAGGAAGGAGACTCCACAACCCCTCTGGGCAACCTGTTCCAGTGTTCAGTCACTCTCAGAGTAAAGATGTTTCCCAATGTTCAGGTGGAAAAATAAGATTACTTTATTCTTCCAGAGTACTACAGGAATCAATGTTCTGTAATTTCATATCGGTATTGATCATCTCCAACTCAGCATCTAGAACATTTTTTTGACAGCAACGTGCAGCTTTTCTAATATCACAAAACAAAAAAATAAATAAAACTCAATATAGCTTTGCTCTAAAGAAAACTAACCCCCCCCCCAAAAAAAACAAAAAAACCCAACTAACCCCAAATCCCCATAGTATCTGAAATGCTACTGGAGATTAAAGAGAGAGGAAAAGGGATGCACAGAGGTGGTGCTTGTTTAACCTCACTTGTACAAAGTGGAACTGCATTCTGGAACTGCAAAAGATTATTCTCATTTATGCACAACTGGATCCATGGATCCATGTGGTAATTACAAAGTAAATACTTTTCAAATTGCTAACTCCGAACTGCATCAGAGATTGATTCCAAGGTCATTCTATTAGTACATAAAGGAAAAACTAAGGTACGTATAAGAAGGCTTTGCTGTGGGGTATTTACAAAGTTCCTTGGGTACAGTGGAGTTTTTGGTCAATTTTAATGGAATAAAATTGTTCCATTTTTATATAAGCAAGGCTGTAAGTGTGCAAACAATTAACTCTTCCATTCCAATATACTGATAGAGCAATTGTCTTTAAAATGCTTATTTCATTATGTCCAGAATATTAACTACTCTGACTGAAAGGATTCCTGAGTGACAGATCCATTTTTCTATGATGCCTGTCACCAGTGTGAGGATCTCCTGATGGCTTTGTCAGCTAAGGAAATACTGATCTTCCCATTTATACACATGGCATGTTTTTAGGAATAGAGGGATCTAAATGGCTTGCTCAAAGTTATGCAGCTTGTTTGGAACAGAGCAAAAACATTTAACCTCTAATTTTCTGGGTCCCAATCTAGAGCATGAATTGAAAGACAATCTTTCTTCAGAGAAGTGAGATGAAGTTGAGCATGTTCCAGGAACAGGAGTCCCAAACAAACGTTTTAACTCAACAGTACTAGGACTTGTTTACTCAAATCACAGAACAAGTTCTTATGGGATCAAAAAAGAGGTATGTGGAGATTATTTCTTGTAAATGCTGGATATAATTCAGTGAATGGTACAAATATGGGGAGAAGTTAGTAAGAATCACTTCTTCAAAAACATGGGTGCCTGTACTTGACACGTGCTGCCTGCGTCTGCAGGCTGGGAGAGGGCAGGAGAGTAGCAGCAGTCAAGCCTGAAATGTGCTTTATGTTTTCATTTTAATCTTATTCTCCAGCAAGGGAGAGAGATGATTACATGCTGTAAGCACTACATTTGTAAAGAGGGTTAGGAACAGGGCCATGAGACTCTTTCTAGATAATAGGTGCTTTTCAAAGTCAATGGACTAACAGTTGTCAGGTACTAACTTTGATGGCATTCCCCACAGTGCTGGTGCTCATATGATGGGCTTCGATTTGCCCTCTTCAAATGAAGGAAGTGCCTAAGGGAGCAGAGCTCAGGAGCATGTTTCAGCATTACCTATAGTGCTATACACTCATGCCCTCTCAGAAACACTGAGTTTCATTTTATCCTCTTCCACTGAGGACCAAAAGAGTCTTATTTGTATTATAATCCAATGCCCTAAGGGTCTTGACTGACATGCTAAAAAAGGTGGCAACATTGTGATACCCTTTTGCCCTCAAAAAGGGCAAAATCAATATGATCGACACACTTCTACAGTTCTATTCCTCAAGCTGTGAAATACCTACATCCCTTTCTGGTAAGGACTGGTTAGTGTTTAGTATGACTCCTGAAAATAATGGAGGAAAACTAACGTAGAGCTGAATGAAAATGCGCAAGAATTATACTTTGGGGGTAGAATACTTCTCATAAAATATTTTCATGGACTTCTACAGCTTTCTGATTACTTGGTGATGCTCATCTTTTATATAAGAAGTTGCTTGATAATTTTGATTTACACGTTATTCTCAATCTTTCCCTCCACCTAGCCCTACTGTCTCAACACTCATGCCCAAAACACTCCGCCTGCAAAACAAAGTGTCTGCTTTGATAAAACAGGAAATCTTCAGAGCTGAAGTTAAGTTAAAACGTTGATCCTCTCTCATACTTTCCTTGTCTTTGGTCTCCATTTAAAATTCCCATTTACACACTTCCACACCCCTCTGCATTTTGGGACAGGAGCCAGTGAGAGGGAAGCAGGCACAGACCCTTCTCCAAGGGCAGGTGCGGGGCCGGGGGCCGCGCCGGGCGCGCCGCGGGGCCTGGATGCTCCTTCCCGCCCTCCTCTTCCTCCCTCCAGCTGCGGCAGCTGCGCCCGGGCCCGCCCGGGGCGGCCACGCGCCCCCTGGGCGCCGCCGCCGTGGTCGTGGCCATCGCCGTGCCCGTGGCGCTGCTCAGCCGCGGTAAGTGCGCGCCGAGCCGCGGAGCGCGCCGGCCCCCGCCCAACTTGGGCGCGAGTTTGTGCTCCGGGGGAGCGGGGCCGCGCGGCGAGAGGGGCTCTCGCTGGGGAGGAGTTTTCGGGGGAACGTCAGGGGGGAGGTTGGAAAGGTCCCTTAGTCCCGTGCACTTGGCGGTAGACGCCTCCTCGTGCTCAGTGTTTGCGTTTCCAATCGCACCTGAAAACTGCCCAGCCAGCAATAAATGCCAGTTCGTCAATCGTGTAGCAATTGTGTAGGTGCCCTCAAGAGATAAGATTATGGTTCCTCTAAACTGCTTTGTTTGCACAACAGAGCTTTGTTGTCTGTTTCTTTTTTCTTTTTCTTTTTTTTTTTTTTAATTGTCCTTTTAACAGTAACGGGTGAACCTGGGTGAAACTAAACACACAGGGCTGCTCCAGAGGTCGGGAAAGCAGGAAGGGATTGGGAACACGTGTGTACCCTGATCAGTTTGTACTTTCTAGCTTGACACTGTAGCCCTAGATGTTAATGTAAAACAGTCCTCATTAAACCTTCATCTGGCAAGGAATTGCTCCCAGCTGGCAGGGCAGAGCTGCAGGTTAATCTGGTGTCTCTTTATTTTCATTATGATTAACAGCTGTGCAGTCCTGACATGTATTTCCTAGAGCAGGCATGAGGAGGTCTGTGGGGGGGTTATGGTGCATATCAAGGAGTGCTAAGGCATATTCTGACAGTTTACTTAAGAATGAACACAGTAGTTCGCTACATGCTTAGAAATGTTTGGGATTTATTTGCATGTCAGTTAAAGAAGCAAAATTTGTGTTACTCTACATACAGCATAACTTACCTTTTTTATTTGCTTTTTTTACACATATATACTTTATCACCAATGCTATTATCTACTGAAAATCAAGTGGATTTTTTCCACAAGGGAAATTGTTATCTAGAAATACTTGTATTGCAGTAAATAGATCAGTATTTTAAGGAAACATTGCTGTTGGGAGGAAATACTGAATATCATCATCATTCTGTTAGCCTTGGCTTGTGCCATTCTGGTTGTTGCAAAAGAACAGGGCAATGTTCAGTCTTTTTACTGTTAGCCCAAATGAATGGGCAGGCTAACTACTTAATACACCTAGGTAGCTCATCGGGGCATTTTGGATGAAACAAGGACAGAGATGGAGACATCCCACTGGAAGTTTTGGAGCTCTGACTCTTTCTAAATGAAGCCTGAGTAGCACCTGCACTTGTTGCACGTTCAAGAACTGCCAGGTGTTTTTGAACTGCGAATATGGGGTGCTCAGCTGGTGTCTTCAATTAGCTGGGAGTGCACAGGTGGTGCACTTGCTTGCAATAGGTCAGAACCCTTAATCAGTGCAGGCTTAATTACATATGTCTAATGAGCTAATGCAGTGCATGTGGACCAGCAGACCCCTTTAGGCCAGTGCAGGCCCTGACCTGAGGAACTGCAGAAGGAAAAGTGGTAAAATGGGGTGGTGTGAGAGGAGGAAGAGCTCATGTGACTGCAATAACATTTGCAATTACTTTTATCAGAGCAGACTTTGACTTCACTTAGTCGCAGTCAAGTCTTTATTCATCTTGGTGGTTAAAGCATTGTGCACAGGATGAAAACAATGATTTATTCGTTTGCATAGATATTTTGAGCTTGGATTTCCTTTGGCCCGCTACTCCTCTCCCTGCTGTGTTTCTGAATATACTTTTGCTTCATCAGTTTACTAGTCCTTCAGCCCAAAAGTAGTTGGGTTCTGTTACATGGACTGCAGTTACTTGAACAGCTATGAAATTGGACCACTGAAGAAAATTCTGGCTTGCTGGCCTAGGAAGGAGAGCTTGTTACTTCTTTTCCTTCCCTATAGCTAAATACTTGAGACTTTCAGACTTAAATCTGTAAAATTGTACTTTAAAATTAGGAGCAACCCCTCAGTATTTACCTAAAGGATCTTCAATCAGAACTGTTACTGTACAGAATTATCTATTCTTTTGTTTAGAAACCACTGCCCATTTTGCCACCTCGATTTATATTTAATAACCATGTCGGTCTGCTTGCGTCCAACAGCTTAATCTCAGAAGAGCCTTGATAATAATATTTTAAGTCTGTGGATGAAAGTGTTTATTTCTTTGAGGAGCTCTTCAAGATGTGACTGTAGCAATAACTAGTTAATCTTTAGGGGATGAATATTTTCCAAAAGTGGTGTCTCTCTGCTTATTACTTATGCTTCCTTCCCGCCCCCTTTTTTTTTCTGTTAAGACTTTCTGTACAGGGAGCAGATTGAAACATCCAGTGGCCACACACCGTTACCTCTCTTCTACACACAGTTTTTGTCACAGCCAGTTGAGTGGGAAGGAGCAGGTGGTATTGAGAAAGGAGGTGGTGTAATGTAGGCATCATCCTGCTGCCACAGGCAAATCAGCAACCACTTGACAGTGTGCTCTATACCTACACAATAACCTGGTTGTAGACTAGGATCCTTCACCCAGGAGCCTAGTTCTCGGAGGGCAAGACAGTCACTAAAGGAAGTGGCTTGTGATCATGCTGTGCTTGGCCGTCTGTGCTCCTATTTAGGAATCTAGTGTGCAGAACAGGTTGGAAAAATGCAGCAGGTACAGCTGGTGGTATTGAGGTGCCTGGGAGTGCTTAGTGAGCCAGAGCCTTACTGAGAATCAGGTAGAACTAGGGGCTGGTAGCAAGCTAGCATAAGGAGATGGTAAGGGTTACTGGCAGCAGCAGTTCGATAAATTGTCATCATCTTGAATTTGAACTCAAAGGGAATGCTGAGCCAGCTTTGTGCTTCAAGGGCTCAAGAAAGATAAGGCCGCAGATCTTCCCTGAAGCTATGTTAATGTGTAACTGAGGAAGAGAGGAATGAAAGTCTCCAAATAGCTCTCCTCATTGTTCTGCTGGGGATGGTCATATCTCCAACCTTCCCCCGCTTATCCTTGCTGCTATCTGTCTTGAGCTAAGCAGATTTGTGACTTGATGGTTTGGAGGAGTATCTGTTGCCAATGTCAACACCCTGCTTGCAACTGAACAGGATGTTTAAAAATACAGAAAGGCTTTTGGCTGATACACGACCCTCTTATTTGTAGACCTGTGCCATAAGCTGAAGGAATGAATGTGGCAGCTGTGATCTGTCACAGTTTTCTTGAGAATAAGGGGTCTGGTATTTTCCCAGTTTCTAAATGGTCGTAAGTTTAAGGGTGCTTGGGCAGAAACCTAGGAATTCTGTAAGTGAATTTCTAATCTATAGATTAGAAATTGATCTTTGAAGTAGAATCTCTTTGAATCTATATTTAAAAGTTTAGGTTATGATAAGAATATTGATTTTGTGTATTTTTGAAAGAATTGTTACTTAAGCAGAGAACTGTAGTTCACTCCAGTAATCTAGCTTCACATGACTTTAATCAAGATCATAACTGAAATTCTCTGTAAATGCTGTATGGGAGATGCTGTACATTAGATTACCCAATTATGTGTGTACTGTGGACTTGTCTAACCAAACGGTCTTTAGTCTGAATCCAGCCTTTCTAAGTATTTTTTTCATCCTTTATTATTTCACCTTGCACTACGTTACAGGATCCTTATCTTGTCCTTATATGTTATCCTTACTAGTAAAGAGAATGAAAGAGAATAGAAATACTTTTGCTCACACCTATAGAATTAAAATATCAGCAGTGGATTTCTATCTGCAGAACACTTCTGCTATTTTTATTTCCTTGATTAATGTGAATTAGAAAGAGATAGGACCAACTAAAGAGAATCTTGCGTTACTGATGACAAAATTACAGATTATCTGTGTCTCGGGAAGTCTCGCCATCCACGGGGAGCTGACTCGCTGGTGAATGCTCTGGGGAAGCGCCACTCTGAGCGCACATTAGTTATTTTCTTTCTTGCATGTCCTGTATTAGCCATTGTAAAAGACAAGTTTCTGGGTTAAGTGGACATTTGGCCTGAGTCATTTTTAGTATTGTCAATAGTCATCTTTATTTTCTTCTTTGCTGGAAATTCAGTTCTGTTCTTTAATTGTTACGTATCTCCAGAAGCAATGAGGAGTTTGGGCATGGGGATAAAGGTTTTGGTATGATATTGGAAAAGAAGCAGAAAAGAAGGAAAGTT